GAATAAAAATTTTAAAATTAATTTATATAGTTAGGACACAGGATATACTTTATTCTTGACACTTCAGCTTGTTTTAAGGATTACAATAACATGTTTTTATAAGTCCTTTGTAATAAAGGATCAAGGCAGTTTAAGAGATCATGCCCTTTTGCTTAAAAAACCCTTTAGTCAGCAATGATTCACCTTCAGAATAAAGATGCTTAGAGCACATATGGCCATCTGAGAAAGTGCTGATTTATGCGTTTCTCAAAAGTAGTTGTCATGACACCAAAGATGGTCAGCATGCTACTTTATGTAAATGTAATGCAATTCAGCTGAAGCTGGAAGTGACATTGCTCTCTCTGTATCTCTCTCAGTATCTTTTTCTCTCTTTCTAAGATTGATAATTCCAGCAGATGGGTAAGAATGATTGAATCCTGACTCTTTTTGAAAATGAAAATATTTGCTGACGATACAGTGGTCCATGAGGGCTTTCTGAAGTGCAGCAGGAAATGCTCTCTCTCCGACACAATCTGTCCAACTCACAAGCACTGCTCAGCGCCTCAGCAAAAATCAGCTTAGACCAGATCAAGTATGAAATAGTGAGGGATGGGTGGGTGGTGAGGGAATGAGGGAGGCAGGGAGGAAGAGAATAACAGAGAAATTAGATCTCATCCATTAGCTCCACTCATCTTCTCTACATCACTGCCAAACCTCACAGTGACATCTGACCACACAGCACCTGCTGCTCATTATGCTCGCTCACCATCTCTCTCTCCTTCACCCCCTGCACTATTATCTATTTTTGCACTCTTTTTGTCTTTAATTTGTCTATAACACTTAGCATCTGTGGATCATACAGTCTTGTGAAGGAAGCTTTTACTGATAGGACAGTAAAAAAGTTATCTGTGAACTTGTCCCAAACCTGAAACTCCTGTATTGTTTCTACTACAATTACTGTTGAAAAGTTTGAGGTCAGTTAATTGTATTATTATTATTTTATTTTTTTTTTAAGTTAACTCTTTCATTCCGTAAGGACATTAAATTGATTGAAAGTGAAGGTAAATACATTTATAATGTTACGAAAAAGTTCTATCTCATATAAAAGCTGTTATTTTGACATTTCTGATATCAACATTGATAATAATATTTTTTTCTTGATTACCAAATTACCAAATTGAAATGTTTTGTAGAGAATCGTGTGTCAAGACTGGAGTAATGGATGTAGAAAATTCAGCTTTGCCATCAGAGAAATTAATTGCATTTTAAAACATATTTAAATAGAGAACAGTTATTTTAAATTGTAATAATTTTTCACAATATTAGTTTTTACTGTATTTTGATCAAATAGATGCAACCCTTTTTTGCAGACTTTTAAAACATTTAAAAACATTTAAAAAATCTTACTGACCCCAAACTTTTGAGTGGTAGTGTTAAAATATATGTATGTAAAAATAATACACACTGCCGCTCAAAATGTATTATATTATAATTATATATTATATTATATATAATTATATATTATACAGCTTAGTCATAATAGTCTTCCAGCTCCAACCAAGTTGACCAAGATAGTCTACCAAATCAACCATGACCTTACCAGATTATAGTCCATCTAACCACTTATGACATAAATAACCAGGGGTGTGTTTCCCAAAAGCATGGTTAGCTAACTATGGTAGTTAGTTCCATTGAAATCTATTGGTAACGACGGAACTTGCGACCATAGTTGCTTTTGGGAAACGCACCCCAGGTCGGGTCTCTGCGCTGTGTGTAGCACATTCCACAATTCCACTCTCTGCATTCTCATTGGTAGTTGCTACATTTCATCAAAGCTCATTTGTGTAAAGATGAAGATTTGTTTTTTCTACTGTGTTGTTCTGTATGTTGCATGAATTTAATAAAAACGAGTGTTCACTTTTTTTAATAATATCTTTAAAAATGACTTCTAGTTGCTTTTTGCATGCAACTCACTATCACTGTTGAGAAGAACCCAAATTGTGGGACAATCACATTATATCCTCTATGGTAATACAAATCGTGAGATGTCTGGATGCGTCGAGCTTATTAGAGATGAAAAGCTGAATTAAAGTTTAATAGAGGACACAGGAAGGGTACAATGAGGGTTAGGAGAACAGATTTTTCCTCAGGATCGTAACGCTTTTGTGATGTGAGCAGGTGACAGGATGAAAAGGAATTACACCCATATCAAGTAGGTTTGAAGGGGGAGCTGGAGGGGACCAAGTGACTCAGAAATGGGGAGAGTGCCCTTTCTGCTACATAGAGGATAAACTAATAGTGTCAGTGATATTCTGTGTTGGCATGACTGAGCACCAAATCGCAGTGACTAAGCTCCCAAACAGTACACAAACACACTCTGACACACATACACACACTCATCTCCATACACGCCACAGTGCAGGGTAATTACCTGGAAATTCTCAAATCCACTTCGGCCACATGTCACTAACCTGGAGGTGCACTGCAGACTCACACACGGCATTCATGAGTAAATTAATTATATTTAGCTTATATTTAGACACACACACATTTGCTTCTGCTCTGCAAATTAAATAAGCAATAAAAAATTTCAGTCAGTGATTTTATGCACACAAATGGGTGCACTTGTGCGAGTCATATGGTTATTTTTTGTGCCTTTCTAATTAATAAATAGTATGAGTGCAAATCAGCAACTATGCTTGTTTAAATATAATATGCCCTAATGCGTTTACTCATCTTGAAGTGCCAGCTCTCTTTAGCTTCTTTCTCACAACATTTGCATTCCGGCAAGTGTAATAATTTAAATGATAAAATATTCTTCTCCTCTGGGAGCATTTTAATCATTTGAGTTTTAGTGTTTTTACCTTTGCCCGGTAGCACATATACGCACTTATAACAGTGGAATACAACACAAGCACAGTCGTGTAGTCAGCTGGCATGTTGGTAGATTATGTGTTGGAGTGAAATTATTTTGCTCAGAGTTCTCCGCAATAATTTATTTTCATTTCAACTTTGTCCTAGAGGTTTCTATAAAAAAATTACTTAGAAGAAAAAAAAATAAAAATTTAACAATTGTTAGCATACAGTAAGAGTATAGAGCTATAAAATGAACATGAATGGCATAGTTCAGATAATTGAGTTTTACAAGTGTGAGAAGCATTTGAGTTTTTTTTTTTTTTTTTTTTGAATAATTGGAAATATTTTCATTTGTGTAATTGTAATGATGAACAACAATAAGGGTCAGGAAGGGACACTAAGGGCCAGATTCACTAAACAGGGCAAATTAGCAAATGTCTAAAATACCAGTAATTTGATGAGCGCAAATGTTAGTAAATCGCGTTGAGTGATTCATTTTAATACTCTCCTCCCATAAATTTTGCGTCTGAAAGGGAAACTCCAACAAATGCATATTCAATCAGATCAGGCGCAAAAATAACTGTGTCCACGCCTTTTCCGCTAATTCTTCACTGTGTGTACAGTAGGACGCTACTATTTTAATGCTTATTTAAATTTTTCATACTTTGTTATGGAAGACGTTTGGGACGACCAGAACCCTTCCTAGAGCTGGCCGTCCGGCCAAACTGAGCTATCGGGGGAGAAGAGCCTTGGTGAGAGAGGTAAAGAAGAACCCAAAGATCACTGTGGCTGAGCTCCAGAGATGCAGTCGGGAGATGGGAGAAAGTTGTAGAAAGTCAACCATCACTGCAGCCCTCCACCAGTCGGGGCTTTATGGCAGAGTGGCCCGACGGAAGCCTCTCCTCAGTTCAAGACACATGAAAGCCCGCATGGAGTTTGCTAAAAAAACACCTGAAGGACTCCAAGATGGTGAGAAATAAGATTCTCTGGTCTGATGAGACCAAGATAGAACTTTTTGGCCTTAATTCTAAGCGGTATGTGTGGAGAAAACCAGGCACCTGTCCAATACAGTCCCAACAGTGAAGCATGGTGGTGGCAGCATCATGCTGTGGGGGTGTTTTTCAGCTGCAGGGACAGGACGACTGGTTGCAATCGAGGGAAAGATGAATGCGGCCAAGTACAGGGATATCCTGGGCGAAAACCTTCTCCAGAGTGCTCAGGACCTCAGACTGGAACTAAGGTTTACCTTCCAACAAGACAATGACCCTAAGCACACAGCTAAAATAACGAAGGAGTGGCTTCCCAACAACTCTGTGACTGTTCTTGAATGGCCCAGCCAGATCCCTGACTTAAACCCAATTGAGCATCTCTGGAGAGACCTAAAAATGGCTGTCCACCAACGTTTACCGTCCAACCTGACAGAACTGGAGAGGATTTGCAAGGAGGAATGGCAGAGGATCCCCAAATCCATGTGTGAAAAACTTGTTGCATCTTTCCCAAAAAGACTCATGGCTGTATTAGATCAAGAGGGTGCTTCTACTAAATACTGAGCATTTTTCAGTTTTTCTTTTTTAATAAATCTGCAAAGATGTCAACAATTCTGTGTTTTTCTGTCAATATGGGGTGCTGTGTGTACATTAATGAGGAAAAAAAATTAACTTAAATGATTTTAGCAAATGGCTGCAATATAACAAAGAGTGAAAAATTTAAGGGGGTCTGAATACTTTCCGTACCCACTGTATATCATGACGCTACTATTTTAATGCTTATTTTTTAAGCTGTTAGTAAATCTGGCCCCATAAGTTTATATTTGTAATTTTTTTTTTTTTTTAAGTCAGGTCTACATTTTTTTATTTTTTTTATATCCTAAATTGATCATGAATGTGATTTTGACTACAGTCTCTCAAACTGAAGGAGATGCATGTGAGATTCTGGGGTCTTTTTTTCTCTAATAAGCAAAAGTCTCCGTTTATCAAGGCGAGTTGAAACAATTGTGAAGCTAAAGAAATCTCATTTGGACTTCTGTGTCCTATTTTTAATGATTTTTTTCTGATGTTGATTATCTCAAAATGGCCTAATATTGATAGGTTTATCAGCTCAGTCATCTGTTAGGAGGATCCCAAGATAACAAAGGAGCTGATGAAACTTTTATTTTCCCCTCATAGGTAAAAGCCCATATCTTATGTTTACTAACCGACATGAGATTCGGCGCATTGACCTGGTGAAGAAGGACTATACGCAGGTAGTGCCAACCCTGAAGAACGCTGTGGCTCTAGATGTGGACGTGACCACCAACAAGATGTACTGGTGTGACCTCTACCATCGCAAGATCTTCAGGTATACACAACATTAGAGCATGTTCCATTTCTCTAACTTGACAGCTGTTTAATCTTTATTTAAGAAGGATAATTTGCAATTAGTGCTCAATGCTTCGGTAGGAGGAGACGGTGCAGTGTTGAAACCCTCTTTTGAGAACCTCTTCCCGCCTCCTCTCAGCTGGCAGATATTAAATGCATGAGAACAGCTGCCATAGACCTGCTGGAAATGTTCTCACAGCAACAAACATCATGGATTGAGAGATGTGAAGTAAATTACTTCCATGCACATTTCACAGACTTTTTCTTGGGCTTACTTAGTCTAATAAGTGATAGAGGGGTGATAGACTGACATAAACATCCTCAAAACATGTTAAAAATTGATCAGACTTTTTTTGAGAGAGAATATATCTTGAATTAGATTAAGTTTATTTTTCTGCCTCATTAACGTTTTGTTTGTTCTTCTTGTAATAAGCATAAACCACACTGTAAAAGTCACAAAGAAAGAAAAAACTGTTAAAAAAAACTCTTAAAGCACATTATCAGATTAATTAATTTATTAAATTAATTATTTATTATTTACTTATTTAAATTATTTCATTATTTTGAATATATTTATTTTTCATAACACATAAACAATGACAGTGTACACTACTACAAAATTGAATAAGCTCTACCGGCCATTTAACAGTCATCTTATCAGTCAGACAGCAGCTTGTCACACAGCCTGCCTGTGCTACAACAGCAGCTGGAAAACTTGACCAACGTTTGTCCTTTACTGTCCCAGTGTGCGTGCTAGCCCATCATGCTCGGGTCTCCACCTCACTTCCTGAATCACTCTGAGTCACATCAGCCTCTAGGACCATCTCTCAATCATTTCAATCGCACCATATGCTTCCCATAATTTAGCTCCAACAATAATGCGTCCCATTACTCATCCCCACTCCCCTCAGGAGGGCTTGTGTTAGAACAACGTACGACAGTTCATTATCACTTTATAAACCCCTCAGAAGAGCACTCGGAAGAATGGAAATACTTCTGTTTGTCTGCATGGAGTTTAATTTATGTGTGTGCTCCCTGACAGAGAGAGTGGCATGAATTGATGGTTATGGTGAAGACGCAACAGTGTAGATGTCAGTTGACAGCTGAAACCTCAAATGAGGCATGTCAGTTTTAAGGGCCATTGTTGGGGCCATTAACCAGTCCTCACTTAGGTTTACTTGAAACTGGCATGTGTGTATTTTAAGTGTTGCGTGGTTATTGATCTGTCAGTAAAAAGCTGTTTTGTTTGCATAGTGGTTCTCTAGCATGAGAGCTCAAAACCTCTCTTTCAGCATAAAGGTTGATAGATTAATGTTGTGTTTATTGCTTTGATTAATTCCAATTAACATCATTTTGGGTTAATGCGATGCAAGGCTTCTGCTGTAATTAAGATGTCAGAGGGAACCCAAACCCAGCCAGTTAAACAGACAATTTGTTGCTCTTGTTGATCAAATACATCATTGTTTGATCCTGGTGTGAACACAAAACACCATGCGGTTTTGGCTTTGATAGATTGTCCCACAGTGTCGTAACCCGGCATGATGCAGCAAGTGATAAGCAACAGGACATTTTATCAATACTATATTATTATTATTATTATTATTATTATATTTTTGTTGCATTGCTCTGAGTAGCTCTGTCTACAGTGAAATTAAATCAAAAATATGTTAATTTTACATTGAAGCTTTTTGCTGAAATGCAAGGATGTCATGATGTTACAATTTATGCATGTCATGTAGCTGATGGGTTTGGTCTATAACTGATTGTAGTCATGTATTTATTTACCATCTCATCATGTTTAGTCACTTCTGTTTAAGTGCATAGCTCTTTTTTGGAAGTCGTGGCCTAATGGTTAGAGAGTCGGACTCGTAACCCAAAGGTTGCGGGTTCGAGTCTCGTACCGGCAGGGATTGTGGGTGGGGGGAGTGAATGTACAGCGCTCTCTCACATAAATCACACACATAAATTAAACTCCCTGCAGACAAACAGAATACCACCTTCAATACCATGACTGAGGTGCCCTTTGCCAATATTATTTGCTCTGTTACTGAAAATGTGTTTTGATTAAAGTAAAATCAAAAGTCCAGTAGTAGAGGATGATATTTATAATTTTTCCTGTAATGTCAGATAAATTCCCTTATCTTACATCTTTGTGACTGTTGTCTGTTCCAGCTGACGGGCATATTGATCAGTGCCGTGGTGGCTGTGTGTCTGATAGGAATCTCTGTGCTTTTCTTCTACCGCAGATATAAACTGGCGAGTATGTTTCACTTCTGTGCCCAAAACAGATGTTTTAAGTCCAAAGAACTGTATACTGGCTTGAGCATCATGTTGTTTTTACATTGTTGCTCAGTTCTGATACTTGAATAAGAGCCTTGTGGTCATACCATTAAACATTTTGGGATCAGTAAAAGGTTTTCAAATGTTTTTGAAAGATGCTCACCAAGTAAAAACAGTAATATTTTGAATTTTCATCAGCCAGTCTTCAGTGTCACTTGATCCTTCAGAAATCATTCTAATATGCTGCTTTGGTATGCAAAAAACATTAGTATCAATGTTGAACAACATTCTTTGATGGATAGAAAGTTCTAAAGAACAGCTTTTTTTAAATATACATATTTTGTAACATTATAAATGCTTTACTTTTTTTGATAAATTTCATGTATTTATGTCTTTAAGAACAAATTCTGACCCAAACTTTTGATTGAATAGTAGTCTATATAATACAAAATGTTATCTTTTATTTCCATATTTTATGTTCATGAAAGTATGCTAATTTGTTAGTATTTCAAGAAGTAAGAAACACTGGGGTAGAGACAAACCAAAAGCACAAAATATTGTTACTGGATTTTTGTTTGTATTTGCAACAATATCTATGGCAACATTTTTGTCATCAGCTACTTGTGAAAGTTATTGTTTGCACAAGTATATGGGTATTTAAATGGAATACCTTTTGTCAAATAACCCAGGTGACACCAAAGTGATAATGACTCTTTCATGAGAGCTAGATCATAAGATCAGTCACATCAGATTTCACCAGGCTTCAAAGAGCAATCAAATCTACTTCACTGTATGTCATTGTAACTTTCAGAGACAGGAAAAACAAAGTTTTTTTCCCTTTCACAGCAACAGAGTTTTGTTTGTTTATTTGTTGGTTGATTTGTTCAAAGTATGAATTGAATATGGATAATGGGCAACTGATTAGCATTAATAGATCTTAATAATGCCTTGTCAATTAAATAAAAAATACACTTCTGTACAATACAGTAACACAGTACAGTAAAAAGAGGATACTGTAACCGTAAAAATAGCAAAACTGCGAACATTTACCATTTTAAATAAATAATTTAATCAGCCAGTCTTCAGTGTCACTTGATCCTTCAGAAATCATTCTAATATGCTGCTTTGGTATGCAAAAAACATTAGTATCAATGTTGAACAACATTCTTTGATGGATAGAAAGTTCTAAAGAACAGCTTTTTTTAAATAGACATATTTTGTAACATTATAAATGCTTTACTTTTTTTGATCAATTTCATGTATCATTATCATTTCATGTATTTATGTCTTTAAGAACAAATTATGACCCAAACTTTTGATTGAATAGTAGTCTATATAATACAAAATGTTATCTTTTATTTCCATATTTTATGTTCATGAAAGTATGCTAATTTGTTAGTATTTCAAGAAGAAACACTGGGGTAGAGACAAGCCAAAAGCACAAAATATTGTTACTGGATTTTTGTTTGTATTTGCAACAATGTCTATGGCAACATTTTTGTCATCAGATACTTGTGAAAGTTATTGTTTGCACAAGTATATGGGTATTTAAATGGAATACCTTTTGTCAAATAACCCAGGTGACACCAAAGTGATAATGACTCTCTCATGAGAGCTAGATCATAAGTTGACTCTTTCATGAGAGCTAGACTAGATCATAAGTCACATCAGATTTCACCAGGCTTCAAAGAGCAATCAAATCTACTTCACTGTATGTCATTGTAACTTTCAGAGACAGGAAAAGTCACAGCCATTTTGTCCTACAATTGTTCTCTGAGAAATATGCAGATGTTGCCTCACTTTGCTGCCTATGTGTACGTAAACAACAGCTGGGAGTGTCAGCTATTTATATTGTGCTTATTCTCCATGAATCTGGTGGATGCATCAAATATCTTGTGATTGTTTATGAATAGATAGATACATCTGCTTAAATGCTGTGGATGTAGATTAACAGTGTGTTTGTTCCTCTTCAGTGCATACATCAACAAAGCCAGCGATGCTTCTCAGCAGATCACGCTCATAGACACTGCGCTACATTCCCCAGAGGGCTTAGCAATGGACTGGGTCCATAAGAACATCTACTGGACCGACTCTGGACACAAAACTATCTCAGTCGCGACTGGTGATGGCAAGAAACGGAAGGTGTTGATCGACACAGAGCTTGGGGAACCGCGTGCCATCGCAGTTGACCCAAGACAAGGGTAATGATATAATATTTATAATCAGCCAAAAGTGGTTCTCAACACCCTAAGGAAAATATTAAGCCTCCTCCACCAGTCTTTTCAAACCCTCTATTGCATTAAATAATAATGAATAACGTAAATATGATGAACATTGCATGATATGTGTCAACACCCCAAGATTTTTGAAAGCCTTGTCAAAGGTTCCTTCACTTCGTATGTATCATTTTCTTTTACTGGCGTTCATCATGATGAATCTTTCCCCTCAGGGGTCTTTTCACCATATTACAGAAGTAGAAGAGCATGGAAAACATGCAAATGAGTCTCAAGCTGGTCAGCATACCAACTAATTTTTGCCTGTGGGTAAAGTGCCCACTTCACTCTTATAGAACCGGAGCTATGTACTGACTTTTTTTAATGAGCATACTCTCACATATTCATCTTGATTTTTGACAGGTGATGAGCGTTGAAGTTTCAAGGCCATTGGAGCTTTCTAATTTTCCACTTAACTGCATCTGGTTTATTTGGTAACATAAAGCTTTTGTGGCCCAAACAAAGGGAACTCCTCCAAGAGCTCCACAAATTTGTGCAGAATTGTAATAATGTCATTCACAAAATTGTATATATCACCTGCCCCTACATTTAATAGGAATTTTGGATAATTAAAGTACTTAAATGCAGTACATTAAATGCAGTATTCCACAGATTTTCCCACCAGCTTCAAAGATGACTTAAAGTGGAAATTGAGTAAAAGATATTTTAGAATCCTTATTCTTAATCCTCATCCAGTAAATAACAAATTGGAAAAATTATGGTGTCAAAAGTGGAGTCAAAAAGGTTGAGAACCACTAGATCTGTCCATGATTCTGATTATGAACATTTTGTTTGTTTTGATCCCCTCAGGTTCATGTACTGGTCAGATTGGGGAACGCTGGCCAAGATCGAGAAAGCCGGAATGAACGGAGTGGATCGACAAGTTCTGGTTTCAGAGAGGATCGAGTGGCCCAATGGGATTGCGCTCGGTAAAACACCATTTGAAAGTTTTGCAGTTCAGTTTTTCCGTTCAAATCATCAAATATAGACAAAAAAGAGAAAAACACACTGGAGAATAGCAGAAAAGACAACAAAAGATAAAAGAGAAACAGCAGAGAGCAAATCAAAGCATATCATACCAAAAAGCAAAGACACAAGAGAGCTGCGTTTGCCATCATTACAAGAGACATCAACCAAAATACTAGAGGAGAAAGGGAAAAAAAACATTAGGATTGAGAAAGACCAAATAAACCCAGAAAGAGTGAGGCAGAAGGAGAAGAAAAGAGTGTTAATAATGAAGAGCAGCCTCCTGTGGCCAACAGGGCTTTGAATCATTCACCTTCATTGTTTCTCATCAATCACCCGTCAGTTTGGGAAAAACTAAATGGAATTGCTCAAGCAACGCTGTCAATATCGCCATCATTTCTCTGGCTTGCTTAACATGAAAGCCATTTGAAAAAGCAGTTATGGTAGACGGATAGAAAAAAATATATTGACAAAAAAGGTGGAATTGAGAATTGCTAAGTCTGTTTAGAAACAAAATACTTTTGTAATGGGAAAAGTAACCTTGCAAAGCAGTGAGATTTTGAAGTGCGTTGTGTTGCGGCTTTTTTGTCATTGTTTTTTTTTTTTTTTCAATTGTGCCTTCCATTTAATTTCCAACTGACTTTTTTACTTGAAATATGAAAAATCATACACTATGAAATATAAATTATCCCTTCAGGTACTTCCCACTATTCTATGTTTCCTTTGATCACTCATGTTAAATTAAAAGCATTTGTTGTATTAGTAAAGTGCTACTTATATGTTCCATTAAAATTTCTTTCCTCTTCCAGATCTGTCTAGTAGACGACTCTACTGGGTGGATTCCAAGCTTCATTTGATCTCCAGTGTGGACCTAAATGGAGACAACCGTGGAATTGAGAATTGCTAAGTCTGTTTAGAAACAAAATACTTTTGTAATGGGAAAAGTAACCTTGCAAAGCAGTGAGATTTTGAAGTGCGTTGTGTTGCGGCTTTTTTGTCATTGTTTTTTTTTTTTTTTCAATTGTGCCTTCCATTTAATTTCCAACTGACTTTTTTACTTGAAATATGAAAAATCATACACTATGAAATATAAATTATCCCTTCAGGTACTTCCCACTATTCTACGTTTCCTTTGACCACTCATGTTAAATTAAAAGCATTTGTTGTATTAGTAAAGTGCTACTTATATGTTCCATTAAAATTTCTTTCCTCTTCCAGATCTGTCTAGTAGACGACTCTACTGGGTGGATTCCAAGCTTCATTTGATCTCCAGTGTGGACCTAAATGGAGACAACCGTAGAGTTTTGCTGTCCTCCATGGATCATCTTGGACATCCCTTTGCCCTGACTGTTTTTGAGGTAAGCAAATTTATCAAATAATTTTCTGAGGTACTCATTCATGCAGGCACAGATGGAGCTGCATTGGCAAGAACTTCCTACGCTCAGTTTGGCTTCAAAATTTACACATAAACATGTTTCTGCTCACAGCGTGTAGTTGGAGAACAGGGGTCTCACTGTGAGACAGTAACACTTGCCAAGAGATGTATGGCTGTGGCACCAGCCAACAACACAAACCAAATTAAAAAGCCTTTTTACTTTGGCAGCTTCTAAGGCACCTGAAGGCAGGACCCAGCCCAAACAATAGATCACCTAATTTCCTTCATTAGGCCAGTCGATGAGCCAGCTCAGTAAGAGGGAACCCTGGGGCCAAACCCTAGAAAAAGGAAACAATGTTGGGGTTTTTTTCATTCTTTTACTTTTGTCCAGGGCACATGTGAAATGAACCTCTACTTTGCTGCAGTATCCTTGAGGCTGGTTCTAAAGTATTCCTTAAGTTCTCCACTTGGCTGAAGAAGTTGCAAAACAGTCGGAGACAACTGCAGCCAAAATGTTTTGTAGATGTGCTTAAAGGAGTATACAAATCTTTCTGTATGAAACATTTGTGCAGTCTTTGGTGCAGGAGTCAATTCCAGTAAGATCATTATTTTGGTTCATTATTTCTAATTGCATAATTTCTCAAAATTAAATTACATTTTGTTTTTTCCAAGTACACATTTCGTTTTGGCTGTTGACAGCTCTACTTTGCTGCAGTATCCTTGAGGCTGGTTCTAAAGTATTCCTTAAGTTCTCCACTTGGCTGAAGAAGTTGCAAAACAGTCGGAGACAACTGCAGCCAAAAACTGCCCTCTAGCTTTAGGGATGTTTTGTAGATGTGCTTAAAGGAGTATACAAATCTTTCTGTATGAAACATTTGTGCAGTCTTTGGTGCAGGAGTCAATTCCAGTAAGATCATTATTTTGGTTCATTATTTCTAATTGCATAATTTCTCAAAATTAAATTACATTTTGTTTTTTCCAAGTACACATTTCGTTTTGGCTGTTGACAGCTTAAAAGTGAAAAAAAAAAAAGCATTAAGTAACGAAAATTTAAACTACTAAATGCCTTTTTCCCTTTTCCCATTTCCCTTTTTTCTAGTTTTTTTTTTTCATAATTTACTTACCTTTATGTCATTCCAAACCCATATGGCATTCATTTTTCAGTGAAACACCATGAAAGACGTCTTCCTTACACTTATGTGAAGAACTGAACGTTAATGAGATAATAATAGTATAATAATTTCATTGAATAGTTTTATTTATTTGGGATCAGTAAGATTTTTTTTTCACAGTTAATAGAATTTTTTTTCAGCAAGGATGCAAAAAATAGTTTAAAAGTGACTGTAAAGACTTTTTAGATTAGATTAGATTAGATTCAACTTTATTGTCACTCTGAGATTGGAGTTCAGTAGGCTGACCGCTGAGGGAAAGAAACTGTTCCTGAGTCTGCTGGTGCGACAGCGAAGACTCCTATAACGTCTCCCCGATGGGAGGGAAGTGAACAGTCTGTGATTGGGATGAGAGGAGTCTTTGATGATACTTCTCACTCTCCTTTGGCAGCGTTTGTGGTAAACCTCTTTGAAGGAGGGTAGCCCGACACCAGTGGTGTATTGGGCAGTTTTCACCACCCGCTGGAGGGCTTTCTGGTCCAAAACAGTGCAGTTGCCATACCACACTGTGATGCAGTTTGTGAGAATGCTTTCAATAGTGCAACGGTAAAAGTTCAGCAGGATGTTGGGGGACAGGTGAGCTTCCCTTAGTTTCCTAAGGAAGTAATGTTTACACATACGTGGAATTTGTTTTAGTGACAGAAGCTCCACAGTGCAACAGAATGACAGTGACAAGACAGGACACAGATAATAAAAAGAATAATATACAAATATACAAAATAGACAATGTACAAAATAGCAAAAACAATATATAATATAGACAATTATGTATGTACTGGTATAATATGTGCAAATTTGAAATGTAAATAAGTATGTGTGTTAAATAAATAATGTATAATAGTGTTGTGTGTTCCACGTTTATTGTTAAGTGTTCATGAGATGGATTGCCTGAGGGAAGTCAAGTCAAGTCAAGTTTACCAAGGAACTTGAAGCTCGCCACGCGCTCCACTTTAGCCCCATCAATGTAGATGGGAGTGTGTGTGGTCCTTCTTAGTCCGCCCGTGGTCTACAATAAACTCTTTGGTCTTCTGGGTGTTGAGTGCAAGGTTATTGTTGGCACACCACGTTGTTAGATGCTGAACCTCGTCCCTGTAGGCCGTCTCATCATTGCCACTGATCAGGCCTACCACCATGGTGTCATCTGCAAACTTGATTATGGAGTTAGAGCCATGCACAGGTATGCAGTCGTGGGTGAAAAGGGAGTAGAGGATTGGGCTCAGCACACAGCCCTGTGGTACCCCAGTGTTTTAAATTGTTACCAAAAAAAAGAATGTTGTTCTTTTGAACATTCTATTCAATAAAGAATTATTTAAACCATGTATCATGGATTCCACAAAAATATTAAGCGGCACAATTGTTTTCAAAATTGCTAATAAGAATAAATTGTTCTTAAGCATCAAATCAGCATATTAGAATGATTTCTGAAGGATCATGTGCAACTGAAGACTGGAGTAAAGTTCAGCTTTACCATCACAGACGGTAAAAGTTCAGCAGGATGTTGGGGGACAGGTGAGCTTCCCTTAGTTTCCTAAGGAAGTAAAGGCGCTGTTGTGCCTTTTTGATCAGTGTGGAGGTATTGAGGGTCCAGGAAAGATCCTCAGAGAGATGGACACCAAGGAACTTGAAGCTCGCCACGCGCTCCACTTTAGCCCCATCAATGTAGATGGGAGTGTGTGTGGTCCTTCTTAGTCCGCCCGTGGTCTACAATAAACTCTTTGGTCTTCTGGGTGTTAAGTGCAAGGTTATTGTTGGCACACCACGTTGCTAGATGCTGAACCTCGTCCCTATAGGCCGTCTCATCATTGCCGCTGATCAGGCCTACCACCGTGGTGTCATCTGCAAACTTGATTATGGAGTTAGAGCCATGCACAGGTATGCAGTCGTGGGTGAAAAGGGAGTAGAGGATTGGGCTCAGCACACAGCCCTGTGGTACCCCAGTGTTTTAAATTGTTACCAAAAAAAAGAATGTTGTTCTTTTGAACATTCTATTCAATAAAGAATTATTTAAACCATGTATCATGGATTCCACAAAAATATTAAGCGGCACAATTGTTTTCAAAATTGCTAATAAGAATAAATTGTTCTTAAGCATCAAATCAGCATATTAGAATGATTTCTGAAGGATCATGTGCCACTGAAGACTGGAGTAAAGTTCAGCTTTACCATCACAGAAATAAATTACATTTTAAAGTATATTAAAATAGAAAACAGTTATTTTAAGTTGAAATAATATTTCACTGGTTTACTGTAAATAAGCATGGTATGGCAGAGAGCTTTAGTGAACTAAGGAAATTATTTTAGTGTCTTAAAGAAGATATACACCACATATTGGCTTCCAACGCAGCAGACCTCAAATTACATATTAGAAATCCTCCATTTTCCTGTCACCTTTTCAGACGATATGTGACCTTTACATTATCCTGTCTCATAAAACAGACCAATATCTCCACACCAGCTTTCACATTATTTTATTGGTTAGTAGGAAGCACTGAAAATGTCAAGACCAATCCAGTTCCACAGGGATAGTTGCTCCTAACCAAATGAAGCGAAAACTTTGATGAAAGGTTTTAATAAAGATGCTCCCCTCGCTCAAGGAGTACACATTTCAGACTTGGATGTTAGAAGCCAGCCTTTTGTGTCATGGATTAAAGCAGTTATCTATATCAGATATGGTGCCTTCGTGGCCTGTGCGTTAGATGAGAGCTGCAATGCGGCAGAATTTGAATGCTGTCTAGTGCAGGTTAAGGAGTCCTACTGATCAACAGCCACCAGCAGGAGCACCTGATGGAGTTCCACTGGGATCCAGCAGCCTGACCTTTCCAAAGAAGCACGGCTCTGTAAACATCCTCTGATACTCGGAGCCAGCTGCCCACTTGGGCATGCTCAGTCCTCTCAATCTTTTTTTTTTTTTGTGCCCTCCCCCCAGTCCTTTTCTTTTGTTACCCCAAAAACACCCCCTCCCGAACTTCCTCATCCATTTCCACATCCGTTTGAAAAGAAGATGAATCTCAGGTTGTCATAGTAACAGACCATCTCACCATGCACATTTGCAATATTTCTGTAGCCGCTGATAAGGACTGATCAGAGGAGGGAGGCAGACGGAGAACGTTGAAAGTGGTATTGTCAGACAGTGGAGCGCGTGCTTTCAGGCTCATGTAGGTGAAGATACAAAGGAGAGATAGAGCTGCGAGCTTTAATTAGTCTGATGAAAAACCTTTGTGGTCCAAAAGACACAGAAGCCTTTATCTTCATTGTCATCTTGCTCCCGTTTCTTTCCTTTTTTGGTGTCTTGCATCATGCATAGAAAAAAAATACATGCCCTACAGAATAATACCTGCTTGGTTGTGATTTTTTCCCTATTCAAGTGTCTTTTTTGTCCTATTTATCGTTACCCATTTTTCACTGAATCACAATAAAAGACCCAAGAATAATGTGAATGGTAGTCACTTGTTGCCCTAGGTGAGACAAGATGTGATTTAAGAATAAAAAATATATAAAGATGTATTTAACTTCTTATTCATTCTTTATATATACTACCGTTTGGGGTCAGTAAGATTTTTTTCAAAAGAAATAATATATCGTTTCAGCAAGGTTGCAATAAATTGATCAAAAGTGGCAGTAAATTAAAATTCTGTTTCAAATAAATGCTGTTTTTTCAGCTTTCTATTCAGTCTATTCAATCAAATTCCTAAAAATGGTAGCGGTTTCCATAGAAAATGGTAAGCAGCACAACTGTTTTCAATATTGATAATAATAAGAAATGTTGCTTGAGCACCAAATCAGAATGCTTTCTGTAGGATCTGAAGACAGGAGTAATGGCTGCTGAAAATTCAGCCATCACAAGAATACATTACATTTTAAAATATATTGAAATAGAAAGAAAATTATTTTGAATTATAATATCTCACAGTATTACTGTTTTACTGTGGTTTTGATCAAATAAATGCAGTCTTGGTGAGCATAGGAGATGTTACAGACCCCAAACTTTTGAATAGTAGTATAAACTGGCCATAAAACTAACAAGACACTTGTAAAAATTTGCATCTATTCTTGTTTCCACACTTTTATACAAAGCTACTTGTATTCAAGACATGCATTTACATATTATCAGTTTGTGTTTTCATTGCAAGTGCTATATTGTAATGTTTGAACCTCAGGAGTGCAATAGCTCCTGCTTGTGTAGAATTCACATTTTATGTTTCTACAGGACCGAGTTTACTGGACAGACTTGGAGGATGAGGCCATCTACAGCGTAAACCGGCTGACAGGGCAAGATGTGGCAATGCTGGCTCAACATCTCAACAACCCACTGGATGTGGTGGTGTTCCACGAGCTCCGGCAGCCTGAAGGTGAGAAATAAGTGTAGTACAGATAGAGACCACTTTACATCACTTTAAGACCCGGTTTCACAGACAGGGGTTAGCTTAAGCCAGGACTAGGCCATAGTTCAATTAGGATTTTAAAGTCATTTTTATAAACATGCCTTAGAAAAAAGATTACTGGTGTGCATCTTGAGACAAAACAAGGGCACTGACACATTTCAAGATCAATCAGTGCAAGTTTCTTTCAGTTGAAACAGCTTAGACTTACATTTTAGTCAGGGACTAGGCTTAAGCCTTGACTGTGAAACTCGGGGGTATATCTGTATATACTGGCCAGTGTCAGAGAGTAACTAGGTAAATGTAGCGGTTTACTTAACTACATTTTTTAGTAGAGTGAATTTAAAAATAGGGTAGTTTTTCCAATCAAGAGCTTTTTTTCTCCCCTAACAACTATTTATTGTGATGTTCTCTCATTCAGGTAGTGTTGGTCCAATACATTTGATTCATTCAACTGAATTATTTCAGTGAACTAAAGACACTTTTTACTGATTTACCTCATTGTTTTTGTTTCTGCTCAGATTTTTTAAGATACGTTATAAAATCTCTTAAAAGCTTAAATTTTGTTAGCAATTTTGCTGGTAATTTGTTGAGTATTAGACTACTATTTCAAAAGCTGGCATACATTTTATTTTTATATTATTTATAATTCAACATCAGTTATACGAAGTAATGGGCACGTGTACGCCACCATTCAAAAGTCTGGAATATGTTTTGAAATAATTATGCTCACCATAGCTGTATTTATTTAATAAAATAATAATAATAAAATACAGGAAATGATAGTGAAATATTATTGCAATTTAAAATCACTAACTACTACTAATAAAATAACTACAATTTTAAAGTGTTTATACATTTATTCCTGTGATAGCAAAGCTGTATTTGTTGAAAAAAAAACAATCAAATATGTTTTCAAAAAATATATATTCTTAATATTTTTGTGAAAAACATAATAAATTTTTATGAATAGAAAGATCAAAAGAACAGTACTGGAAATATAAATCTTTTGTAAAAATGTAGTCTTTTACTGTGCCTTTTGATCAATGTAATGCGTCCTTGCTGAATAAAATAATTAATTTCTTAAAAATTTTACTGACCTCAAACTTTTTGAAAAAAAATGTAACTTTCAGTCTGTTTTATCTATTGAGCTGAATAGCCAGTGATGGATGTTATAATGCATTAGAGGACTCATATCATGAGAAATCAATTTGTTCCTGATCTTTTAGATAAAAGACTTTGATGTGCTGTGAAAACACTGAGAATTCAACTTCCTCCCCTGTCCACAAAGATAATTTATTGAAACTAAGCAGAAAAAAAAACTTTGCTGTTCATTTCACACGTAAAGAGTCCGTTTCTTAAAGGTACAGCAGCAAAAAAAAAAAAAAAGGCTGTTAATTATTTCTGCCTTTCAGGAGCTAATAGAAACAATGCTTGAACAGTATTATTTTCACAGTGTCACCTTTTTAGCATTGTTATAATAATGAGAGGCAAATCTTTGGTGACTCTCTGTTTTTTCCCCAGTAATAGCAGTCCTATTAGTGAATAGCATATTTATGGTGAATTTTTGTTCTAGAGACAGGCAGAGAAAATGAAAGAAGCAGTGTGCGTATGTGTGTGCAGATTTTGATTCTTTGTTTTCATCCTTTTATCACAAACAGACCACGTGCAGCATGCCAGCAGAAGAACCAATTTACAGCCTCCTCACATTAATGAATGAGAAGTGCTATTTAAATCTAAATCAAAGAATTAAACATGTTGCTCTGAAAATGCAAACGAAAGCAGGAAAACACACTTACGCTGAACAAGAAATGTTGAGAATGGAATCCAACCGCTTTTTATATCTCAAGTGCCTCTGAGTGAAATATTAATCAGTTATGCATCCCTGCCAAACACGATTTTATGAGAATGTGTAAGAAAGAGCTACACATAAAATATTATTTAGTAAAAAAACAATCTTCTGAGTAGTGTTTGTAGAGCTTAACAACCTTTCCTACAGATTTCCATTGCGCTACATTGCTATATTATATGTAACTGACAATAACATAAGAAAATGATTCTAGTTGTTCAAGCTCAGTCAGTTTGAAATTCTCGAAATTGAGATTTATACATCATCTGAAAGCTGAATAAATAATCTTTCCATTGATGTATGGTTTGTTAGGATAGGACAATATTTGGCCGAGATACAACTATTTGAAAATCTGGAATCTGAGGGTGCAGAAAAATCAAAACACTGAGAAAATCGCCTTTAAAGTTGTCTAAATGAAGCATATTACTAATCAAAAATTAAGTTTTGATATATTTACGGTAGTTTTGGCTATTGCTACAAATATACCCCAGCGACTTAAGATTTTGTGGTCCAGGGTCACATATGTATTAAATCTATTATGTTTAAGTACAAATATAACTATTCCTCAAGCCAAATAATTGATGCTTTTTGATACATTTTTACATATACTCTAGGACAGTGTTTCCCAACCTTTTTTTAGTCGCGGCACCCTTTGGAAATTTTAACAAACTTGTGGCACCCTACAAAATAAATTGTCACAATATTTGAATTTCTAACGAGCGGAGCGCACACGCATAGAGCGGGATAATACGCAGAGCGTCACACCACGTGAAAGTGAAACCTGAGCGGTGAACTCATTTTCGGCAGCCGAAATTTCAGTGCATCTCTAATTATTGGCGACATCAGAAATGGATATTATATAATAGATGCTTTTTTGAACATTTTAGCAATTTAAAAATATTAAAAATATTTTTTTACATGGCACTCCTGCTCTCGACAGACGGCACCCCGGTTGGGAAACACTGGTCTAGGATGCCAGACACATTACAATAGACAAGCATGATTACTGACTGCAATATTGTAATAAAAAACAGTAATATTGTGAAATATTATTACAATTTAAAATACCTGTTTTCTATTTTAATATATTTAATATATTTGTTATTTATTCCTATTACTCCAGTCTTCAGTGTTACATGATCCTTCAGAAATCATTCTAATATACTGATTTGGTGCTCAAGAAACATTTCTTATTATTATAAATGGTGAAAACAGTAATATGTTTATGGAGGTTATGATGCATTTCTTTTTTTCTTTTTTTTCATTTATTTGAAATATACATTTTTGTAACATTATAAAGGTCTTTACTGTCACTTTTGCACCCAGACTTATAAATGGTAGTGTATATTTAAATTTATATGATTTTTCATACTCAAAACCACATAAATTAAGTGATAAATGACTGTTGCGATATTTAATATAAACATAAATTTGCTTTGGTTCGTTTATATAAATGTGTTTTCTTAACTGGTTAATATATCTTACTGTATGCGCTTTATACCCATGGGCAGCTGCATAGAAAACAATTTTGAGCTGAATAAAAACGTGGACCTTTTTATTTCCAAACTCCATGTGGTACAGCTTTCTCTGAAAATGAACGACCTCCAGTGTTTGGTCACTGTCATTCTGAATGCATCTTAATAGTTCAGCTGCTATGTTAATATTTTAATGTATGATCTCATATATACTACTATGCAACCAATCCAGTGACTAATTCATCTGAATTAAACTGTGACTTTCTCTATAGCTCCAGACACATGCAACATGGGAAGTCTGCCCAATGGCGGCTGTGAGTACCTGTGCCTCAGAGCTCCTCAGATCACAGACCACTCGCCCAAGTACACGTGTGCCTGTCCCGACAACATGGAACTGGGCCCGGACATGCGCCGCTGTGTGACAGGTAACAAAATACAGAGCCCTAGGTCAAGTTTACTCATACTATACACTTTAAAGAAACATACGTGACCTGATTCAGGTTTGGGAGTTAACTCAAGAGATTACAGGAAGTCAGCTGACTCCATATATCTGTTTTGTTTGTTGTAGTCAAACCCAAAACAACAACAACTGCAAGTACAACCACTACTACAACACCAGAACCTTCTACTACTGTGACTCCTACAACCACTACTCCAGCTATAAACACAGATACACCTACAACAATCAGTACAATCTCTACAACTACACCTACAGCGACCGTATCAAGTACAACCACCACCAGCCCCACCACAACCACTCATTCCAGCTCGCATAGTTCCACCAGCACACACTCCACAGCCACTTCAACCACAGTGACCACTCAGTCCAGCACTACAGCAGCAGGGAAACAGCCAGCCTCCACCCAGACGACAGCAGATCACAGACCGACATCTACAACCATCCACGGCAACAGCATACAAGGGGCCAATGGCAATCTCTCTCATCGCGGTGAGTTTCCGTTTCTGTTTTTGTGTTGATATCATGATCTTTTGTGTCTGCTTCTTTTTTATTCAAAATTATATTACAATGCAAATATACAGTACAGTGTAATGCAATAACTCGAGTATATCTTTTCAATGAAGAGTATGCTTTAAAAACAGCTCTTTAAAGAAATCTTTTTAAGACAGGTTGTAAAATTTCATGTGATTCAGCTCCTCAAAAATGTAATGAAATTTTGAATTAATCATTATTTGTATTTGTAAAAAATTCTTTTTAACCTTCATTCATTAACTTTTTTGAAAATAATGGTTAAGAAGGTGTATTCAAGGTGTTAGGAAAAATGTACTTTTACTTGATGGTTACACCTTGTGACATTTTTAGCATCATTCAAAAAAAATGAAACCTTTCTTGAATATGGTATAAATATTTTTCTAAACCATATGAAACCAACATGAATACAAAGAGTGGAGTTTTCTTTATCATGGACATTCAAAAGCTGACAGTGACAACAAAGCCAATTAAAATTCTATTTCAAAAAAATTATGTTCTTTTGAACTTTCTATTCAGCACAAAATCCCAAAAAAATGCATCACTGTTTCCAGAAAAATATTACGCAGAACTGTTAACATTAATAATAAGAAGAAATGTTTCTTGAGCACCAAATCAGAATGATTAATGATGACACGAAGGAAAATTCTGCTTTGCCATCACAAAAATAAATTACATTTTAAAATGTTAAAATAGAAAACACTTATTTGAAATTGCAATAAAGTCTCACAATATTATAGTTTTTACTGTATTTTGATCAAATAAATCCAGCCTTGGTGAGCGTAAAAGTCTTAATTAAAAAAAAATGTACAATCTTGACTGAAATAATGGCTGCTGAAAAATAAATAACAATTTTAAAATATATTAAAATAGAAAACACTTATTTGAAATGGTAATATCTCACAATATTACTGTTTTTACTGGTGAGCATTAAAGACTATTTTCAAAAAATTGTAAAAATCTTACAGACTATAAACTTTTGATGTCATTGACCTTTATGTAAATATTCATAGGACTGTTGTATAAGAGCAATATCGTGTGATATTGCGTTGTTTTTCTTGTATTGAACTTGTGTTGTTTTACTGAATTCCATCACCACTGATATTCAGCTGAAGCTTATATAATTGCTGTCCTTCAGTACTCATACAGTAGTCCTCTCAGAGTCTGTGAAAGTTAATGTGTGGTGGAATTTGCTTGCCGAGCATCACTGGGCCACTTGAGAGTGATAGATGAGGCAGCAGTGGTCGCCCAGGGTCCCAAAGTGTATCTGTGCTAAATTAGAGAGAGCAGTCAGTGAAGAGAGACTGATGAACATTGCCCTCAGCCTTGTTCCTCTCCACACTCAGTGTTTCACTATCAGCCCCCCACAGCCTCTGGGCTTTGACTGGGGACACTCAGGTACACGGCCACCTGGACACAGCAGGAAAAAAGGCATTAGTGACTTCAGTAATAGGATCTATATCCATGATATCCCTCCGAAAGTCTTCGAAAGGTTGTCTGTCGAGACTAAAAATATGGAAAAACAACCAACATTTTAGTAGCCGTTACACCTCTCAGCCCATAATCAAAGCACAGAAGTGCTCATTCTTGATGCTAACCATAAATTTGGGTTCTTTAATATTTTATGACTGCCAGCATATTACACGGTAGACATGGTGAAACTCTCCATTAGATAAAACCTGTAAATTGCTGCACTGAGGATAGTGATGAATTACACCAGCACCCTTTCTGCCTTTTATGGCTGCTTGCTAATGAAGACAAAGACTTGTCTGTAGAATTCTACAAATGTGGCTCTTTTTTTAAACACTGCTGTTGGATCAGTAAGATTTATTTTATTTATTTATTTATTTTATTAAGATTTTTTTTTCCAACAAGAATGCATTAAATTGATCAAAAGTGACAATAAGGCCTTTACATTGTTAATATTCTTTTAAACTTGAAAGAAATAGCAGTTTCCACAAAAATATTAATCAGCGTAATGGTTTTTAACATTGATAATAAGAAGTGTTTCTTGAGCACCAAATCAAAATATGTGACCCTGGACCATAAGGGTCAATTTGACATCTGAAAGCTGAATAAATAAGCTTTCCATTGATGTATGGTTTGTTAGTATAGGACAATATATGGCCGAGATACAACTATATGAAAATCTGGAATCTGAGGGTGCAAAAAAATCTAAATATTGAGAAAATCGCCTTTAAAGTTTTCAAATTAAGTCCTTAGCAACGCATATTACTAATTGAAAATTACGTTTTTATATATTTATGGTAGGAAATTTACAAAATATCTTCATGGAACATGATCTTAAATATCCTAATGATTTTTGGCATAAAAGAAAAATCGATAATTCTGACCCATACAATGTATTGTTGGCTATTGCTACAAATATACCTGTGCTACTTATGGTTTTGTATGTAGTCCAGGGTCACATATTAGAATAATTTCTGAAGGATCATGTGACACTGAAGACTGGAGTGATGGCTATTGAATTAAAATAGAAAACAGTTCTTTCAATTTCATAATATTATCATTTTAACTGTATTTTTAATCAAATAAATGATGCCTTGGTCAGCATAAGACTCTTCTTTCATTAACACATAAAACATTGCAGAAATTGTACCGACCACAATCTTTTGAACGTTGGTGTATGTAGCTATTTAAGTGCCAGGCACACCAGCTGTGAATGTACCTGTAGTAGATTTGTCAAATATATCACATATTGTGCAAAATGATCATAAAACCTTGGGTTGTGAATTTCTGAGGCGTGTGTTAGCAGTATTCAGTGCTGTCAGCATCACCTGTTACAGGCCAATTGTTTGTACTAAAAGCATTTCCACATTAATGAGTTTGGATACACTCCCTTGTCTTTTGTCTGTGAATAATGATTTTATGGATGTAATAAATCATTAAGCTTTAAGAAAAATTCAATGCTCTTTGAATAGAAACTTTAAAAACCCATTTAAAACAGGAACTACACACTATATACAAACAGTAGCAGATGATGCAAATGAAGTTTTGCCATGGAAACCCACGTCACTGGTATCACATAAATAACACTTTAAGAGGATCCCCTTACCGATAATATGTTTTCTTGATTACCTTTCCCTTTATGTGCAGTTGTTACTGCATGGACTGCATTTCTTTTGTTTCCTACTGACAAGCCCTCAGGCTGTCTTGTCTGTATCTGGATGCCAATGCTGTACCAACTAGTCCTCTTAATCTCCCGGCTCAGACTCCATTATCAGACACTAATTATGCTGTAGCTAATGGAGGGCCACGTGCTAATTGTGAGACTGAGGTGGGATTTATATAGTGGAAACAACTGCTCAGCAGAAACCTTAAAAGGGAAAGCAACAGCACAAAGCAAAGTGCTGTATATGAATAGCAATATATTGTCTTGAGCAAGATAGCAGTGTAAATGGACACTTCACTATACAAACCGGAGAAGATTCATTTAAATGAAAATGGCAGTGAAAACATACCTGATACATGCTGCAACCTCAGTCAGTGTTTATTTTGATGCTGGAATAGAAAAATCTGTTTTCATTTGCTCACTCTCAATAATTGTGGACAATACAGTGCTGTTTGCTAAACTGCAGATGACAGAATCTGTTATGATCTTGTGATTAAATATAAAGTTAATACAGTCTTTCTTTGTTTTTCCCTCATTGTTGCCTGTCTTTCTTTCTTCATCTTTCTGTTTCAGCTGGCAGTGGAAATGACCACTTCCTCCTTGGTAGCAATATAACCGTTGCGGTTCTGGGTATAGTCATTCCAATAGGTGAGTATTAAAGTTAACTAAGCATTTTATCCTGCATTTTGAATTCAGGCTTGTTCACTCAGTAGATGAACAGCTTTTGCCCTTGAGCTTTATGTGCACTACCTGCTTTGGAGACACTTATGGTGGTCCTAACTAGCCATTTATAAACTTGCTGCTGCTCCATTTAGCTTAATATTCCAGGTTAAATACAACTTAAGTGCTGTCGACAGCATGCTATTTATTCCAGAAATAATTTGAACTCAATTTTGAGTTTGTTAAAACTACAAAGAAAAACTTACAGTATAGCTCTTAGAATGAAAGTCTTTATGGCTGTCTTATCAAAGGGTTGAAAAGCAGAAATGTGAAGCTCATATTTTTGCTATCTGATGTTACTGTCGCTCTGTGCGACAAATCCATTTTCTACACTTTGCAAACGCATGATGCATAAAAAAATGTTAATAATAAATATGTATTCTTAGAGATAACTCGAATAAACCAGTAAAAGCTTTTTTCAGAATAATCTGTCAATTGTTATTCCGGCATGGTAGACAATGTGCAGGGACACATTTTTATTGATTTTTCATCAACCAAAAAATGTGATTCATATTACTTAGTAAGTAAACATCTTACATTTAAATAGGAATTATTTGTATGAATATGAAACAGCATTGTGCAGTGAAATGGATATGGATGTATCCGTTTTTGTAAACTCCGCCGCTGGATTATTATTATTTATTTATTTATTTTATTTTTTGTCTTTCTTTTCACTCAATTTCTTTACAAATTTAAAATACACATTTCTTTTAGAACATTTTTAGTAATGAAGTCCATTTTATACTGTGTGTGTATATACATTCATATATATATACTTGTATTTTTCCAGGCTGATGAATTTCTGGTTACGACAGTTCTTTTTCTGTGGGTGGGTTTTGCTCTATTAAAAACGTGCTGTGTTGATATACATTTATATTTAATTATATTTATAAATTTTTATTATATTTATATATTTATTTCTATAATTTTTCACAGACGAGTTTAATAAATGCTTCAGACTAGTCTGAATATGCTTATACTTTGGTCACAGTGTGATATTTCCATATTTTAAATGTTACATTTTTTGTAAGAGCTTTTACTGTACACATTAGATTATCCACAGATGCTGTCGTTTGAGCTTGAATTGTATTAAATCCAGAATATTCTTTCTAAATGAATAGTCTGTTTCAAAAGTTCATATGACAGCAGCCTACAACATGTGTTTTTAAATATGTTGTGCTCATTATGAAATTAGTGCTTTATAAATGGTTATTTTTGATCCTACAAAAAGAAGTGTCGCTCATGCATTTTGATTGTGTGATCATTCTCTCCGTTAGTTTCTATGCATCATCCTTTTGACTGTTTGATCGAACTAAATAACAGTACATGTGTATATATAAAGTACAGTATATGCAAATGTATACATCTCATAGTTTCTACAGAAAGTCTCTGTCAAAAGGAACTGATGGGCTTCATTGATTGTCTGGAGAGTGGCTTAGTGGGATTGAAATGACTTGTCTGTGCTCATATTCAACTGAAAGATATTAAGTGAAATACCTTTCCTCTAAAAACTGTTTTAATAGCTCTTTGTAATTGCAGTCCCTCTACGATCACTCCTCTTATCTTAAAATTGCAACGTTTTTCTAAATGCTTTCTTTTATTGTAGTTTGGTTAAAAATCTAATGTAATTCTCAGACAGAATGCATTCCAAGTGTTTATAGCGAGACAATAGAACCTGAGTGATGGAGGAAAACACATCATTAGGAGGTCTCTGCGGCCCCCCCAGACAAAAGAGCAATTAGGGAGAACTTCCAGGGGACCAGAGCAGCCACGGCTGATCTTTTAAATTAGGGAATGGGTTAGCCAGTCGCTGCAGGAAAGCCACACATGGTTATCAATTCACCCTGAATAGCAATATGCTCCCCCCAACCATTCACATGTAGGCGTGTGTGAGCATACACACAGTCCAATTCGATTTCTCCTGGTCCCCTTAGACCCCTGCTTTCTCACTGAGCAGCATGTGAACACCCCCTTCACATATTCCACTAAGCCACTGCGTGTGTGTGTGTATCTCTGTGTGTGAGAGAGTGAATGGGAAAGGTGTGTCTTTGGCAGCCCTAGTTTTAAAATATTCATATCTGCTATTTTTAAACCTGCTTTTTAAGTAGCCCTTTTTGTAGTGATATGATCAGACTCTCCTTAAATTATGTACACTACCATTCAAAAGATTGGGGCTGGTAAGATTTTTGAATGTTTTTGAAAGAAGTCTCTTATGTTCACCAAGCTTGCATTTGTTTGATCAAATATACAGTAAAAACAGCAATATTGTGAAATATTATTGCTATTTAAAAAACTGTAATTTATTCCTATGTTGGCAAAGCTATTTTCAGCAGCCATTGTTCCAGTCTTCATGATCCTTCAGAAATCATTTTAATATGCTGATTTTAATGTTTTTTTTTTATATTTAAATTTTTTTCCCAGTATACTTTGATACATAAGAACATCATTTATTTGAAATAGATTTGTAATATTATAAATGTTTTTATCATAACCTTTAAACAGTTTAATGCATTTTGACTAAAAAGTATTAATTTAAGAATTACTAACCCCAAACATAAAAGCTGTTTAGAATGGATTTATAGAGTGCTGCACACTATTTATTATACACTGTTTATTGCTTATGATTTTTTAATTTTATGTGAAACAGTATACATCGTTGTCACACAACCTCGCAGCATTACAATTAATTCAGCAAGTTACCATCAAAAATAAAAACCACATTCCCATAACTTCAAATTAAATTAAATTTCAATTCTAATTAAACTGATCAAACAAATACTGTATTTTTATTTAGTTATTGTTAATTTACTTTCAGTTTATCAGTAACTACAAACCAGAATTTTTCCCTTTTTTTTTTTTTATTCAATTTATATTTATACTAAATGTACCCATGTTGGCATAGACAGGCTATTTTTTATTAATTTTGTAAATTATATTTATATGAATTTTGTCTGTTTAGATGTTTGTTAATATGGCTATAAAATCGCTCAAATAAGGGTTTTAAATTCTTTAAATATGTCCTTAATTTTGTTAAGTGGGTTGCAACAACTGCATGGAATGAAATGAGATTTGCTTTGATACATAATTTTAATAATGAAACACATTTTAATAACACCATTTAGCCCAGGTCTGCCATGATACACCTTAAGGTTTGAGTGTGTGAGCGCAACTGGAGGAGACGGAACACCAAGAGCATGAACTTCGACAACCCTGTTTACCGCAAGACCACAGAGGACGACGACGACGAAATCCACATCGGCCGCAGCGAGCAGATTGGCCACGTCTACCCTGCAGTGAGTGGCAGTGCCAGACAGCCATACCTAGCACTGCCACTGGGGGGCGGAATCCCAGACCCGGCAGCTCACTGGTACTCAGGGGCACCTATGCTGTCCAGCGCAAAGTGAACAAAGGGAGGAAGGCAGTCGGATAGTGATAAAATGTGGGCGAGGCTAAGACAGTGTTCCCTAAGAGAGGGCATTATGCTGCCTCTTCCCAAACACATATTTATATTCATAATTCACCACACATTTTCATTCAAATGTATGTTTAATTAGTGTATGGATTATCATGTGAGGTTTCATTAGTCTGTATGTGTTTCCCTTAGGCTGCGTCCGAAATTGCATACTCTCTGAGTAGGTACTTCTTTTGAATAAGTAATTGCGAATATTGTAGTATATAGTATGAATGTGTGTAATATGAATTTAATCCAGATGTACTACGTGTTGTCATTAGCCCCTATCACACAGTAATACCAGTAAATTGCTGTAAAATTACCGCAACGACTTTACTGGTAAATACAAAAATGTGCTGTTCACACAGGCAACGGTAATTTACCAGTAATTTAGCAGTAAAGTCTGTATGTGTGAAAGGTGCTATTGTCATGATGTGACCTATCACCTCTTTACCTTGGCATAATGGGATAGTAAAGCGCCCATTCGATGCAAAAATAGTAGGTCACCCAGGAACTTTTCGCGTATTGTTTTATGACTACTATGAATTCACACATGCTACTCCTGTCACATACAGTTTTCTCCTACTATATACTAGGATATTATGCGATTTTGGATGCAGCCACAGTCTTTGGTTTCTCGTGGTGTGTGTTTTTGTGTGTGTGTGTGTGTGTACCTGTTTTTCTATTCTGGTGGGGACTTAAACCTGAATACACACAGACTCATGGGGACTCGTGTCATGGTGGGGACCTAAATTGAGGTCCCCACGGGTAAACAAGCTAATAAATCACACATAATGAAGTTTTTTGAAAATCTAAAAATGCAGAAAGTTTCCTGTGAGGGGTAGGTGTAGGGTTGGTGTAGGGCAATAGAATATACGGTCTGTACAGTATAAAAACCATTACGCCTATGGAGAGTCCCCACAAGGATAGCTGACCAGACGTGTGTGTGTGTGTAAAGCTTTAAATGCTTTCCACGTTTGAAAGCTTTGAAATTGTGCTCTCCCATGATCCCATAGTTGTTTTTTATGAATTCAGTATAACTGCTTTAGGGATGAGCAACGAGCACCTTAAATGACTGGACAATCTTTTAATATATTCTAGTTTATTTATTTATGTAGGTGTTTTGCTGGTAATTTATTTGGGTGATGTAATGATTTATTCATATATTTGCATAACCGTTGGCCTGGGCTGAAATTGTTAACATGGCGCTGTTGAGAGCTGTTAGTCAGATGGAGGGATTATAACAGTGTGATTTGAACTTCCTGTGCTACAGTCGGCATGTCAAGCACAAGCAGAGATAAAGACATCAGTCGCGCGGCAGAAACGGGGCGTGCCGCCCCAGTGGCATAACAGGATTCTCTCAAGCGCCCCACACGTCATGCACTTCACTTTGTGTGTGTGGAGGATCTGCATATCGGATGTTTCTGTATCCGTCTTCTCCTCCAAGGGCCTTCTTATTCTTTCCAATGTGTATATTTCTCACCTTCTTTTCTTTCAACACGTGTAACTGTTTTTTATCTGCTTTCCGCAGCGCGTGGCGCTCAGTCCAGACGATGACGGGTTCCCCTGAGGGCGATTCTTGCACTCGCTCTCTCCTTCTCCATCCTTGAATCCATGCATCCTTTAGTCCTCCATCTCTCCTTCCATCGAGGAGGTCGCACGAGACAACGCAGCAAGGTGCACAGAGCCAAAAGGACACGAGCACTTGCTCTCCACAGCCGAGAGCTACAAACTGGGTTTGTCTTCTCGTAGTGTCTTTTTCAGCCCATAAACCCTCAGTCAGGCAATAATCATTAGTTCTTAAATTAACTACTAGCATCATTCCTGCTCTGTGTCAGTAGTAGTAGGTAGTGTTGTTAATGATGACTAACTTCATAGCTCATCACGTTAGTAGTCGCTAACACTCAGTGGCTCTCCTGCTGCACTCGTGCTGTAGTTTTTTAATTAGAAATAGCATTTCAAGCTGGTTTGAGTTGATCTATGGCCATTTCGTTTGGCAAAACTTGTTGGCAGAGAATTGAGAACAATCCATCCTGTGAGCATGCGAGATACATAGAAGGAAAATATGAAATAGGATGAAAAATTCATATTTGCAGACATACTAAACACAAATTCCACCTTGTGGCTGTTATGCATTCATATATTCTCACAAATAATATACCACAAACAATAAGATTTACCTTGTAAATAAATCAGAATCTGTACTTTTCTGTCCATACTTCCAATGCCAAGACTAGTATACTTTCATGTCTTCCATAGTCACTCCAGTCAGATTTGACCCTTCTAAAAGATCTGCAGCCACTATCTGGAGATGAAGGGTTTCACCTCCCAACTTTGAGAGGCAATATTTTTTTCCATTTTTATTTATTTCACCAGCACTGGGGCTTCCATTTTTCTCAAGTTTCTAGGACCAACTAAATTCTTCCTGCCCAGGCACATTTATAACCCCAAAACTTTAGCTCAGGACATCAGTTTTTCTAAAATATTATCAGTTATCGCTACAATCTGTGTGGTTTGTTATCACAAACACGCTAATAGATACGGTTGCCAGGGTTTGATAATGGCTAAAATGCTGTTTGTTCATATCTACAGTCTAGATCGCTCCCTCTCAGACAGGCAAAAACACACACACACACTATCGCACAAACACAAATGTGTCTTTTCCGCCCCTACATTCGTCATGCCTCGGGTAAAACTCTTTAGCATTTAGCATGCTGACAACAAGACACCGCCTGCCATATTGGGTGGCTTAATGGCATGATAGATTAGAGTCGTAGATCAAAGCTTTGCTCCTCTGAACAGTCATCTGTTCAACGCGTGGCACAGGAAATGTGGAGTGCCTGAATATAGGCTTCCTGTACATATCAACTCTCCAACTCTCTCCATGTGATGAATGAGCACTTGGTTATTTCTGTATCGCTGTCAGAGGGATACTGACTGATTGAACGGATGTAGAAAAAGAAAAAAGCAGGTTTTGATCTACCTGGATATGCCTGCTGATAAAAAAAAACTCAAACCAGCCAAAGGTTTTTTTGCTGGTTTTAGTTAGAATAGTCTGAATTGATTGTTTAAAGGGGTTTGATATATTTTGAACAGTGGTTATCAACTTTTTTAACCCCCTTTGGGCCTTCTAATCTAGACTGAAATACATAACCTAAAAAAATATGTAATTTAAGACTTATTGGGGGACCCCTGATAGTTTTCCATTTGCCATGGTTGAGAACCACTGATTTACAGATCCCATCTAAACCAGCAAATAACCTTGGGCTGGATTAAGATTTTCCAGCATTGATTAAAACTTTGCATCTGGCAGTATGCCTGTGTACTGGGGTGTGTTGTTAGATCAGATGGTTTTGAAGAACTAGTCATGTGAGTTGCTCTTTGTTGGAGACTACCGAAAGTCCCTGAGACGCGTATGTTTGGTTCTGGCCCGCATGTGGGTGGTCTCGCATCTGGAGTGGCTCTTTGTTCCTGCCACCTTTGCTCTTCTCTGCTGTGATCAGGCATCTTGTGTGCGGCTCTTGTAAAACATCCCTCCACATTTCAAAGAATCCCCCATTAAGTCACTGTTTGTTTTCCATTAGAAAGAGAGACAGTGTGGGAGTTTCGATGCTCAGGCTTTTGTCTGTGAGGATTAAAGAAGCTGCAGTTTGTAGTTGGTTTTCTGATCAGATGGGTTTGACATGAAGACATGGTTTGGTGATAACAGGCCTTTTGTCATCGATATTATAGTTAGTTTGAATCTTCATCCCTAACCATTTCTCACATCAAACTATTAAAAGTATAATAGATAAATCGATTTTCTAGGTTTTTTTTTTTAAACGGAAGCTGTAACATTTTAAATGCTTCGAATACTTTCAAAATATATCAGTTCTGAAAATGTGAAACTTTAGTTTTTGATTTGAAAATCTCAGACTAGCAATACAGGGTAACCAAACTGCTTCATGTGTTTTTTCAAAACTGTAATGACATAAATTATTGTTTGATCATTACCAATGGTTTCTTCAGATGCGCCTTGCTGAAAAAAAAAATGCTTAAACCAGCCTTATCTAGTTTGCTGGTCTTATTAAATCTGGTTTGCTGGTTTTAGATGGGTTTTGGGCACTTATCATCTGGTTTAGACTGAAAGACAAGCTTGTCAACCAACTAAACCACCTAGGCACCAGACTAGGAGACCAACTAAGACCAGAAAAAAAACAGCCTAAACCGGTTTTAGATGGGTTTTGGACACTTGTCAGTTGGTTAGGCTGGGGGACCAACAAAGACCAGGAAAAAAATAGCTTAAACTAGTTTTAGATGTATTTTGGGCACATATCGGCTGGATTAGACTGGAAGACAAGCTTTTCGACCAACTGAACTACTTGGACGCCAGACTAGGATACCAACCAAGACCAGAAAAAAAAGTCTAAACTGGTTTTAGATTGGTTTTGGGCACTTGTTAGTTGATTAGGCTGGGAGACCAACCAACACCAGAAAAAAAACAGCCTAAACTGGTTTTAGATGTATTGTGGGCACTTATCGGCTGGGTTTAGACTGGAAGACAAGCTTGTTGACCAGCTGAACCAACTGGACACCAAACTAAGACCGGAAAAAAGGCCTAAACTAGTTTTAAATGGGTTTTAGGCAATTGGACAATTAGTTAGGCTCGGAGATCAGCTTGTTAACAAGCTAAACCAACTAAAAACCAGCATGGCCAGACTGGAAGACCAATTAAAACCAGCAAATAAGCTTAGGTTGGTTTAATCAGTTTTTTTTTTTAATCAGAAGGGGCATCATGCACATTTTTTTCCTGACCCCAGACTCATCGTTGTTATCAGGTGTTGCTCTAGAGTAGGCTCAAAAAATGTTTTATGGGAAACTTTGTTACATTGAGCTCTCTAGCTGTCAAGGTTTCTACAAACAGATCTCTTAGCGTATTATAATTTAGTATGTGTGGGACACATATTCGATAAACACATGTAGGGTCTGCTCACAGAAGGTTCTAGAACAGGCTTATAGACCTTGGATTTTCTGCCTCTCTGTACAGTAGATAACACACAGTACTTTGTGACCGTTGTCCATCATTCTTACTCTATGCATATGTACCGGCGAGTCCTGCCTTCCTATAGCACTGCAGGGACTCGCCACGCTGCTCCTTCACCCCACTCCACTGTGACTAACATTCGTGATGTCCATAACTCCTCCTCATCACTGTCTACCTGTCATCCCCATCAGCCCAACAAGTAGGACATTGCTTTCGAAAGGGCTACCATTCTTTTAAAATGGACGATACACTGGACGATAAGCTGGAACCTCTCCTGGAACAGTGCTCCTTAGTTTGGTGGACTTGTAGAGCTGAACCGCCGACTCTAAATGGATGAGTCAGGTCCTCCACGCCCATGATAACATTCCTGTCTGTTCTCTTTGTGACCTGTGGAAAAAAAAACAACTCTATTTTGGTTTCCCCCTATGAGATCATGTTGACATGATGTATATTACTTGAAGAACTGTTCATTTTTTGTATGGTTTGTAGGTGTTAATTTCAGGAGAGGGGGAGGAAGGAGGGCCTGTCATTCCTGTCATTTGAGGAAACACGCGTCCCGGTTATTCCATAGCTGTTTGGAGACATTTTGTACGCTGTTTGTTGCACAAACTTTTTCAAGAAGCCTTCTGCACTGTGTAAATGATTACATAGGATGGGGGGAAGGGTGACCGTTGCAGTCCAATGAGTCTGAATCATGATTTGTAAATATGTTTTCATACAGCAAAACTTTTGATAAGGTTTTAAACATTTATTGTAAAAAGATGATGTGTATATTAGTCTCCTGGACGAAAAAGAGTGTAGACCATACATGGATTTGTTTGTACTCAAGAGCACTGGATTTCTTTACTACTTGATTGTAACTAAAATTAATAATCTGCCAAAGTGTTTTCAATTTTTTTTCTTCCTCCTGTTCTTAATTTTATTTTTGCTTTTTAACCGTAAACATAGCGGAAATAGTGTTTAATTTGTATCTGTACATTTATTTAATAGATAAATTAAATTGTAATTCTATTTAATAGGTTACACTCAGTGTTGAAAGAGGGGGTTACAGTTTAATTTATTGCTGCCTTGTATGTGTTCATGTATATTTTCCAATAATTTTTTTTTTTTTTTTGCTTTTCTGGTGTCTGTGTCAGTGGGTCAGAGGTGGTGGGAATAGGGAGGGGGTTTTAACGTTAGCAAAACTGTACTTATATGGAATATCTGTACTGTATGCCAAAATGGTCTCACTCACGTTTCTATGAAATTCAAGTTGTTGATAAATATCTATATATTGATATATTAAATTGTTAAAAATAGCTCTTTTGTCGCTCTTTGTCTCCTTCTTAAACATTTTTATTGGTTAAATGAAAACAGTTGTCAGTTGTTTGTGGTTCTGTTGTTCCTCTGCATAAATTCGCCCTTCCCTGCATTCCAGCTCATGATTCTTGTCAGTATGCCCACATTGCGGTTATGCCTGACTCCGCAGAGGGAGACGGTGGCTCTGTGCCTGGTAATGGAAAGAGGAACTCCCCCACCAGGTGTCACACTGTGATTTTGCTAATGTCTGCGGTGAGTATTAGCCTCCAGGGAGACCTAAATAAAATGGGGAAACTGCTTGAATTCCCAGCGGCAGCCCCTGACAGCGGGCAGATTTAATGAATGTGATTTTTACAAAGTTGCCATGGTGTTCACTCGAAAATCTGGATTCTGTAACCATTTACTCACCCTTATGTGGTTCCAAACCCGTATGGCTTTCTTTTCTCTGCAAAGCACAAAAGTAGATATTTTCTAGAATTTCATACACAAGAAATTTAGGTTTGGAATGACACAGGGGTAATACATTTTTTTATTTTTGTTGGTCAAATATCCATTCAAGTCAATAGCCTTGTGGGCAAGTGAACCGACATATAGTGCTATTGCGCTATGGGCGTCCCAAGTTCGAATCACGGCTCGAGGACCTTTCCTAATCCCACTCCCACTTCGCTTCTCATCTGTTCTACATGATCCTATCATAACAAAGGCAAAAAATGGCAAAAATAAATCTTTAAAAAAAACTATCCTTTCAAGAGCAGAACACCCCGCTATAGTGCACAATAGTCTGGGTTCTGGAAATAAAAATTGAATCTGTAACTTGTTGACCTTTAAAGATGTTAATTGATTCTTTTGATGAATCACATTATTTGAAAACATTTTTTTAATCACTCTTAACATTAGAATTGCTAGTGAAAAACTACATTACCCATGATTCTAGAAAGAAATTTCCACCAATCAGAGAATGACAGTGAGCAATCACACCAAAAAAGTTTTGAGACTCCCATGAAGCACCACAAATGGTGTGTGTGTGTGTGTACTTTTTTATGCTACATTGTGGGGACCAAATGTCCACACAAGGATAGTAAAACCTGAAATTTTTGACATTGTGGGAACCGGCCTGTGGTCCCCATGAGGGAAAAGAAATTATTAAAAATAGTAAATGATGTTTATCTGAAAGTGTAACAATGCAAACAGTTTTTCTGTAAGGGGGTAGGTTTAGGGTTAGGGGATAGAAAATATTGTTTGGTCAGTATAAAAGTAATAGAAGTTTTTAGAATGCTTCATGGGATTGTAGTTTTTTTTCCGTCACTAAAGTTGTTATATACTCAGTCTTGAACCTTTTTCGCCTTGTCCAATTCTCAAATACTTTTTTGATTCAAATCAAAGATTATAATGTTGTGATTCACCTCACAGCTGGTTGATTTGGTTTATAAATGAATGGGAAATATATTTCTGGAACCAAAGCTGCTGAAAGAGTGGACACTAATTCACTCTGTTGTAGCTCTTTATGTAAGACCTGATGATATTGAGGAATGCTGCTTTTTTTAAGCAGTCTTTAATGGTAGCTGCCAATGGTTTGCGTAATGAAATTAAGCTCTCCTCCCCAAGTGGATTTGGCCTGCGGTAGGGGACCAACAGTTGTTAGGGCACCCTGGTTCGTTTCTACATAGACAACCCTATTTATGATTCTCTTTGTTGGTTCAATTACTTTGCCCATTGTAGCAGTCTCTGAAAACAGTCCTCAAAGAGAATCTATGAAAGATTTTTTTCCCCAATCCCTAATCGCTGCTGTCCCTCAAGAAAAGAAAAGGATATTTTCACAAGTACAGTTATTTCCTCTTCCTCTTTTTTCAGCTTTATTTTAGCACGGCAGATGACATTTAGCGCTCCCTCCTACTGTGCGAACATCCAATTATTATGCAGCTGGTCCC